TAACTCTTTACACTGCCAAGCACCTTAGTCCATAATAGTAAACGATATTGTAGTAGTTGATTTATTACTGTATTAAAAATATTAAGCTGTAAAAGTAACTAGTAACTCATCTTGAAAAATAAATGTTGTGGAGAAAAAAGTACAAAAACTGCTTCCAACATGTAGTGGAGTAGAAGTATGAAGTAGCATAAAATGCTACTTGAGTAAATGAACTTTCCACCACTGGATTTCCACATTAATCATTAAAGGAGTACAAATGAAACTAACGAGTGACATGTCTCCAGTGTTGGAGCAGTCAACAGTAGTTACTCAGTAACTAGCAGACGATGACCCAGTATATTCTGAAGCTGAACTCTCAGCAGTAACAGAGGGACAGGCGAGGTTACCTGCTGGGCTCCGGATCCCCTTCACTCACAAACGGGTCCATAACAGCACCAGCTTCAGAAAACACGGATGTGTCAAGAAACTGAGGAAACCGGAAACGGAAAGCTGCATCATGGAACCAGGAACCACAGCACAACACTTCCGCCCTTAATCCTTCACAATAAAAGCGTATGCGCTCCCATAAATACAAGTGTACAAAAAGCAACGTTTCAGGAACTTGAACGTTAAACCCTGCAGTGGTGTACATGTACTCAAGTACTGTGCTTAAGTACAATGTTGAGGTACTTGTACTTTACTTAAGTTATAATATTTCCATTTTTGTCCATGCTACTTTGTACTTTTACTCCACTACAGCTATAGTAACTTTAGTTACTTTGCAGGTAGTAGATGAATGATAAACAATATGATCAACACTTAAATAAGACTTTAGTTAGATCTGGATTAAATTCACAATATACCCTGCAGTAAATAAAGTAATTAGTTCCACCTTTGGCAGTGGCTCAGTCAGTAGGGGCTTGCACTGGGAGCTGTAGGGTTGCCGGTTCAAGTCCCCGACCAGACCTAAAATATGGAGTGTGGACTGCTACTTGGAGAGGTCCAAGTTCACCTCCTGCCCTGCCGTGGTGCCCTTGGGCAAGGCACCGGACACCCCCCTTCCCCCCTCACTCCCATTGCTCCCCGGGCGCTGTACAATAGCTGCCCACTGCTCCTAGTACTAGACTCCTGGTACTAGGATGGGTTAAATGCAGAGAACACATGTCACTGTGTGTGTGCTGTGTGCTCTGCATGTGTGACCATTAAAGAGGGTTTCATCCCTCCCTAGTCTATTCTATTCTTTACCAGCTTCATTAACATATGTTAATAATTATAAAACTAAACTTAAAGGTCCCATGTCATGGCCATTTCTACTGATCATAATTCCATTGTTGAGGTCTACTAAAATAGATTTATATTGTGCAATTTTCCAAACTCACATTGGTTTCTCATACAGCATCTCTGTATAGTATGTGTATTCACTCTCTGTCCTAAACGGCTTGTTGGAGCTCCTTTCCCCCCCCTCCCTGTGAGCCCAGTGTGCTCGCGACATGAGAGGCTCGTTGCTGCTCGCAGCTGCTGCGAGTTGCTGCGAGGAGCAGACAGGCTTCCGTGTCGGCGATACAGCGAGAACAAGCTAAACTCAACCTGAGCACACACAAACACTCACAGCCGAAGTAAAAACAATAAGTGTGGCTTGATATTGAGTAAGAAAAAGGTTTATAACGCTGTGAGCATGGGTCTGCGGAGAGCATTTCTCCGCAATCCCAATGTAGTAGCCCGAAAAACGTTTACTCATTTAAACAGTCGTGGTAGATACCTTGTTTGTTTTAAACATCATAAATACACAAACGACAATGAATACTTACAGGTTGTGTACCCGAATCTCCCGCTGGTCCAAACAAAGTAGGAACAGCATCGTTCTTCAGTGCCCTACGCTGTACATATCCGGCATGAATCGCTGAAAGGTTTGGGAAGCTTTGTTTCGTGAAAGACTGGCAGAGGGTGCGGCCATAGCTCTGGGCATGGCTACTGGGTATCCCTAGCGATACCCAGGAAGTAAACAATGGAAAATGAGATATCTCCAACGAGGCGTTCTGGGCCAGCATAGACAGGTCTTTTCTGTGTTAGAGTTTTACTCGCTACAGGGTGTACTTTGAGGGTTTTTGACTCTGCAGACCGTTTACATGCATAAAAGGGGACGGGTAATAACCGGAAAAGCATGACATGGGACCTTTAAAGTGGACCTATTATGCTATATTGGAAAAATATATTGTAGAGCCATACCTATACAAAACATGTCAAAACATTTTTTGCTTAAAATACCAAACAGATCACCCGTTAGGCGCTTTCACACCGGAGTACTTTTCCCAGGAATAGTTCCGATAGTTCCTGGGATTTTGCGAACCTTTGGGATTTTGGGAACCTTTTCACCCCTTTTTAGTCCCTGCTAGAGAGCAGGGACTTTCCTGGGGAGAAAAAGGTTCCAATTTCTGATTGGGCCCGTAAAACTCGGAAAAGTTTTGTGAAGCCGCCATTGTATGCTGGCATTAGCATTATTAGCATTAGCATTAGCCCAGCGACCCAACAGAGAGAGACTAACTTATGGCAACACAAAAAAAAACATGGGAGCGGTGGAGTGATGAGGGGGTGTCGGCGTTCTGGCGATTTACTCGGAAGGCTTCAGTAGAAGCAGTGTCACGTCGGCCGGATGTCGCCAATGACATTATAGGAGCAAACATTCTGGATCTGCTTGTTAGCACCCCCCCCCCTTTTTTTTTTAGATGTGGGTACGGAGGAGGGTTTTGTTTCCTGACACTTTGTGAGTTCCCTGACACACCGGGGACACATATATCTATGTATTAAAGACATCAAAAAGTGCATTTAGCATAATAGGTCCCCTTTAAGTGACGACTACAAATGTTTCTATAATCTCTATCTCTACATGTATGACAGCCATTCCATTCCAGTGTCTGTTGAATTCCAACACAGAGAAACGTTTTCAGTAGAATAAAACAAATGAAAAAAATAAGTTTACTCAAACACATATCTACAAATAGTAAAACCAGAGAAACCGATAATGTTTCAGTGGTTTCTTAATAACTACTTAAAGTATATTTAGATGCCAATACTTTTTTACTTTTACTTGAGTAACATTTTGAATACAGGACTTTTACTTATATCAGAGTATTCTTACACTTTGGTACTTTTACTAAGTACAATATTTGAGTAGGCTACTTCTTCCAGCTCTGAAACCTAGCATAACCCTGTACTACAATAAGTGTACATTCCTGCTCACGTAACATATTTTGTTCCTTTTTAAAGGAACTGCTCAGATTTATTGAATGTTGTACATTTTATAATCATATATTTTATTATTATTTCAGAGGAATCCGTGCAGTGGGTTGTCTACGAGAGGACGGATTGAGGACAGACAGCTGGACAAAGAAACCACTCTTTTGTTGTTATGCAGGACCAGACTCTTTACTTGGAAGAGATTGGCCTCCAGCAGCAAACCAATGCAGCAACAACCAATGGACTGAGCGTGGAAAGTAAATATGGTGGCCATAAATAATACTTCCACGCATAATGATATAATACTGTACATGCAGGGCTGTCCCTCCCTACAGGAAGATCACGCAGACTGCGTGGGTCCTCACCTTGCGGAGGGGGCCTCATCTTGCGACGACGCTCGCGAAACAGAGGGCCTCATCATATAACTTTGTGTGGGGCCTCAAGTTGGCCAGGGACAGCCCTGTGTACATGTACAGTATGAGACCTGCAACACAGGCATCTTAAAGGTCCCATGTCATGCTTTTCCGGTTATTACCCGTCCCCTTGTGTGTTATGAAGGTTTTTCTGCATGTAAACGGTCTGCAGAGTCACAAACCCTCAAAGTACACCCTGTAGCGAGTAAAACTCTAACACAGAAAAGACCTGTCTGCTGCCCCAGAACGCCTCGTTGGAGATTGATATTTTTCCATTGAAAACTTCCTGGGTACAGTGACGTGCAGCCCCCTCAGCATCCCCCCCTTCCCGCGTCCATTCGCGATGTCTCGCTGTCTCGCAGATCCCACGCAGCAAGCAGGAAATTAACCCAGCTCACACTGTCCGCCCCTCGCAGCAGCGAGCCCCGCAACGTCCCACCAACACGGGACCCAGACCCCACGCAGCATTCTCATCTGTTTGTCATTACTGGTGTCATTTTCTGGTTGCTAACGCCATTGTAACACATAATCACTGATGTTCCGCTGTAACGGTGGTGGACTCATCAGAACAGAGTGGGCAAGCTGACCAATCAGAGCACAGTGGGCGCACAGGGAGGGGGGGGGCAGGAGCTCCAACAAGCCGTTTAGGACAGAGAGTGAATACACATACTATACAGAGATGCTGTATGAGAAACCAATGTGAGTTTGGAACATTGAACAATGTAAATCTATTCTAGTAGACCTCAACAATGGAATTATGATCAGTAGAAATGGCCATGACATGGGACCTTTAAAATATAAAGTTTGGTCTCCAACTGGAGAACAAGATAACGGAGTTTAGGAATAGAAAATATATTATTTTGGGAACATTTTGAATATGTTTTTTTTGTCCTGATAACTATTACTGTATTTGCTGCACAAGAAAACAAGATAATACTATACTACATTTTTGTAAAATGATGTACATATATATGTACCGAAACAAAACACTAATAAAAAACATGCCAAACAGAGCAGAGGTTATTCGTGTAGACGTGCACCGCAACTACAACATAAAACAAAATACAATGACCTCAGACTCGTGGTGTAAATGAAATATAATTAAGCTGGATTTTTTTTTAATAAAAAAACATCATAGAGCTGAGTACAAAAATAATTATATCTGATTAGATTTTTTACTTTCTTTTTTAAAGACTGTTAAAATGGAGATTGAACTAAAAAAGAGCAATACGAACAATCCTAAACGATTAACCGTTTTTTTATTGTGTGTATTGTTTCCTGAATCGGCTGTTACTGAACATGGCAGCTCTTCTCTGAGAGGCTCTCTGGCAGTGTCCTCCCTCGGGCAGCAGCAGGGAGGTGATGTCAGACAGACAGGCAGACAGACAGACAGCTCGAACAGATCACTGACAGAGACATACAGGATCCTGCGGTACCCTCTCAAAATCCACCTTCATCCGTACTGAATTAAAGCGTATCCATCTCAAAAACAGCAGGAGCATAAAGTACACACTTGGAGCTTTCTAACGAGCGCTTTATTAGCACGGTATGAGGTTATTAGGATTTTAAAACAAGAGGCGAAAGATTGTGAGAGCTGACTTGACTATCCGGAGAGGACATACTACCGAACAGAGGACACTGTTCATCTTATTTGAAAGGAGGTTTCATGTTTCGGATGCTAAACAGGCTCGGGCTGTAAACCTGAACGTTATTTTGGGTACATTTGGGAGCTAGCGAGCTGCTTGCTAGCCGAGACCATGGAGCTGAGAGTGGGGAACAGATACAGACTGGGCAGGAAGATTGGAAGTGGATCATTTGGGGACATCTATCTTGGTAAGTTCTCGTAAAATAAACCTGCTTTCCTGTCTTTGTTTTCCAGTTACAGCTCAGCCTGGTAGATAAAGCTCCATCTGCCTGTCTGTCTGCTTGTTTCCTGAACAACTACCTGACAGTCGATCAGCTGTTTACTGTTTAGTGTTAGCCACATTAGCTGCTAAGCTAACAGGAAACAGACGTCCGATACATTGTGATAATTCACTTTAATACGCCCGACCTGCAGTAACACTTTGCCTGTCATAATGTCAAATGAAGTTCCCACTGAACCGTCTTAACGGAGAGAACAGAAACTACCGACTGCTGTGTAGCTTTAGCTAACCCCAAACTAGCATTTAGCTAACGTTAGCTCATATTTGTGTCCGCTGGAAGCAGCAGCAGCAGCAGTCCGAGAACAGAGCAGCTGAGCAGGCCACAGGCTGTACTCTGAGGTCCCTGAATGTAGCACCAAAGGCCCCTTCACGGTCCTCCTTTGGTCTCGGTAATAGAAAGACTCTGCAGAAATAAAATAAAACGGGAGAGGTCTCCAGAGGTTAATTACACTTTAGTTTCACAATATTTGTTATGAAAGAAACCCATATATCAAACATGGGATTATGTATCTGTGTCTATTGAAGGCCTAGTGGGTTTCATCTAGCATGTAACTGGTTAATAAATGATCCTTCTGCCTGTGTAGTGCTTGATGGGACATGTTCACATATCACCCAGTTGTATCTACTTATGGCCCAGGGCTAGGTAGTGTGTGTAAAGAATTGATAGGATGGGTTATTTTAAGAGATATAATCAGCAGTTGAGAAAGTTTAATATTCTCTCTACATAAAACATGGAATTCAGATGTTTAGCAACTATGCTGTCCAATCCATCTTTACTGAGCTATGTGCATTTGAGGGACAAACAAGAGATGGGAAAACATAGATAAAGGAAATTATTTATAAATCAATAACAAATCTGCATCAATCTAATTAGAGTTCCCACTGAACTACAGGGAGTCTAAATTGTAATGCATCCTCTGGTGACCATATTGGAGGTCCACATTGTTTGAGAACAGCTGATCTAATTTCTAAGCTCAAGACTTAGTCATCTGAACAAGAATAGAGAACAGACATTATTAATTGATGAAGCATTTTTACTGGCTGTGGATGACCATGGCTTCTGCTGTTATTCTCAGTATTGGTGAATCAGGCATTTTCTCACATTAGTCCATGAAAAGAACAAGGTATATTATATATAATATTCTGCTCACAATGATATAAAACAGAAAAGCAGAAGAACATTGAGAATCTTCATTGTTTCATCAATGAAACAATGTTTTGAATAATGAAATACTGTGGTAAGCTGTTAAGAACTTTTATACAAGATCATATTATTTTACTGGACCCTTCCAATGTTAATGTGTCAATTGGAAGCAGTTTGTCTCTAGCCCTCATGCTACTCTACAAAAGGAGTACCGAATTTTGGCATTAACTCGTTGCCAAAATATTGTTGCCGGCTATTCAAAGTATGATTATAATATTTCTGCTCATAGTTAATCATATTTCTTTGCATATACTGATCAAAGTCAAATTAAAGTACCTGTAAAATGTGCAGAAAAATAGAATTTTGACAGTGGGCCGTATGACCTGTCAATACCTGATATTTTTCTATCCTCAGCCATGCTCCCATAATGCTTACATTGTTGTGTTTGTTGTTGGCTGAAGGTGGATAGGCTGTTTGAATACTGCCTGTGTGTAAAAATGACAAACATTCATAGCTGTTGGAATAGTTTAAAATCTTTGCGAGGCTTGTCTTGACAGCTCTGCTATAGCTTACTTAGTGACACGTTATATCTTATTTATCTGTTGCCAGACTGTGGTTTTACGGGGAAATGTGCTCTACTATTTACTGGGCGGAGGCACTTCCAAGACTCTCTGAGGGGTCATCTGCAAAAGTTGGACCTAGCCCAGAAAAGTCCACAGGGAGGCTTGTTTACTTCATAGTGGAAATGGTTAGTTATGTGTTGGCAATCAGAGAAGATAGGTGTCATAGAAAGAAATATCCCAAAATAAAATAGGATAGCCTATGTGGTAAACACAAGCTTACGTGATTTTCACCGCGATGCTAAAAAGTTGATGTTCTTGCTGAACAAAACATGTTGGTATCATAATCATGTGTTTATCTCCAATTTCAAAATCCAATGGAAATATCCAATTGCTTTTACTTGAGGAGTCCCTTGCAATGCTAATTTCTGGGTTAGCTTACAAAAGATACGTGCAGTGACGTATCTACGTGCAGTGACGTATCTTTTGTAATAATGTGACGCGTTTGTGTGTATTGTGTTTGTTTCCCGGGGAAACACTCACAAGAAACACCGGCTGTTGTTATGCCTGCTGTGACGTTAAGTTACCGCTTGTAATTATGCCTTTACAAGCTTCAAAGTTTTTAAAGTATTTATCATCTGAATTTGGCGAAACAAGTTTAATATTCTAAAAACCAAGACTTTGATGAAAACAAACTGTCACGGACCCTGCCGTGTTATCTATGATTACTATACGCTTTTCATTCATAATTTCAGCGGGAGGGAGGGGGAGCGGCGCTGTGGAAGAGCAGAGTGCGCCTGTGTTGACATTCCCCTTATTGTGCGTCAGTGTCTTAGGTTCAAGTTAGACAACTAATGTCTGGGTTAGTGTTCATGACTTCATGTTTATGTCATCTTAATCTTTAATCTTAATGCACACACACTTTCCGTGCTTTCCAATAGTTTAAAATAGTTTTATTCCACTGTTAAATAACCTGTTCAATACAAACATGCCAGTTGTCAAAATTAAATAACATTTCTGTGAACTGATATTTGTTTAGTGAGCTTATTAGAGGATGTTCCCTGAAAGATTGTAAAATGTCAATGAAGATGTCAGACTTAGTATATTTGTTAATAATTACATACAATACATGGAATTTGTGTGTGTGTGTGTGTTCCAAGTGAATCTGCGGCCCCCTGGTGGCCAGTACATCAATTATGTGGCCCCCACCACCATCCAAGTTGCCCATCCCTGCTATAAGTAATGTTTTTTTTTTTGGACGGACACTATAATTTACATTTTTTTTACTGTGTTCAATCTGAATTTACTTTAAAATAAACAAATTCTATATTGATTCTGACTCTTCTACATCCAACTCACAGGTTTATCATTGCTTTGAGAAAAAAGATTATTAATTTACCTCTTTTAGAAGGGAAGATATGGTCATTTGTTATGGGAATGTCATTTTCGAGCCCGAGACCTGAAAAACAGGCTTGTGGCTTAACAGGTTAAATCATGATGGTTATATCCCATGTTTACAAGGCTTAAACTTACAAGATTAATATTCATACATTTGATCAGAGCACATATAGGCCTGGCCTGCATGAAAGAGCAGTTTATATGTCGACTGAATCCAATGGTGTGTTGGTCATACAATAGAGGGATTTCTTGCTAATGTGTTGTGAATAATGTAAAAGAAAATACATTATTAGAAAGAAATCACAATATCGCGATATTTCGATCTAAAAAAAAACTTCATTAGATAACCATATAATAATGAAAAACCCATGAATAACATGTCATAAATCAAATAATAACATTTGTTTGTGTTGCACCTGAAGCAAAACTCCCATACAAACAACGCAGCATTTTTTTAAATGAGGACTGTAGAAACGCACAGCGCTGTTTCAGTTTACGACCTGTTAGACGAGGACTTGTGTAACAGGTATGGAGCCAAACTGAAAGCATGTATGCTAAAAGGGATGGGTGGATAAGCAGAGCTCAGAACATCAACAGGGAAGTTAGGACAGGCTCAGACCTGACGCTGACTCAGCTGCTGACTCACTGCACTTCTGCCTCTTTGTGGTTCGGTTGTGTAAGACGTTCTTGCGTTTTTTATTCGTATGTTGACGTCACCTCAGGTGACTTCTTCTAAAGAATATTTGGAGTTGAGAAATCAGTTTTCACTTGCACGGTATGGCCAGGTAGTATGTGTGTCCTTATCCTGAAGCACACCTTACACAAGAGTTCAGCTGATTAGCTGCTTACACACCAATGAAATCCTGTGGGGAAACACTGCATGGGTTCAGACGTTTGGATTGGCACCAATTTCGCACCTGATTGCTATCAACTAGCTACATTTGAATTGACAAGTGGTCTTTGTTTTCTAATGTTATTCCTTCTCTCCTGACTGTCTGCAGAACAGTGATTCTGTTTTCATGATTCCTCCGTAATGATTAAATACACATACTAGAATTAAGATAGTATTCAATTATTAACCATCAAAAGTTTGTATTCCTTCCTCCTATCGTTTGCATTGTGTAACCTGACCGTTGGCAACTTTTTGGTCAATTCTGAACATCAAGCAAGCTGAACATCCTTGGTGAAATAATTAGCTGTTCAGTTTTAGCAAATCAGTATTGGGAAGAGAAACAGACATAAGGGAAACACACAAATAACTTAAGTCAATAGGGCACACATCACAACCTAACAGTAGCTTGTATATCTCCCGTCGTACATTTTTTCGTTTCCCTATTTGAAAGAGGAATACAGACTTCTGGTATAGAGAGATACTTCCTCAAATGCGACACAACAGTCAGTTTGATGTTGGTTTGATGTTTTTTTTGTGAAGAGACTAGGTGTATCTGTTGCTGTTGTGAACCAGTGTAGGAGGACATGTCCTAACATGTTTTACACCAGCAGCACTGCTTATCAAAAACACACACCTATGTAAACATGTACTCACTTTTAAGGCCGCTACACACCCACCTGAGACCAAAGAACGCGTACCGAAGGCGTCTCGACTTTTACGTCAGCTACGTCGCCTGCGTCGGCTATGCCGCCCGCCTACGAACACACCGCAAATACTTCAGTCAACGAGTGGCAATAACTGTCCTTGCCAGCAGACAGCGGTAGTGTGAATAGCCAATCAGAGTGATTGCTTGGGCCGACTTTCTCTGACCTCCCGCGGCCGATTCAACATGTTGAATCGGCCGCGGGAGGTGT